TTATGGAGATTTATGTTTAAATCAACAACCTCCCCACAAAAGAAACCTTTGGTAGTATAATAGTCCAGCAGCGTTTCTCTTGACATCTGAAGGAACAGACAGCTGCTGGTATCCTGCAAAACAGATTGTTGGGTTTTGGCATGTGGTAGAGCTAACCTTCCCTTACCTCTTCTGTGTCCCCTTAAATCAGCTTCATGGCGAGAGAAGAGGGAGGGGAAGTTATGTTGTGCAGCCAAAAGAGCTTGCGCTAGTGGAACTGTTTAGTTGGATGCCACCCAATATATGCAGATGTTATTTCCGGAAATCTTCATTCTAGTTCCTTAAACTCAGTCGGAGAAGACCATTGTGAGTGCAACAGTTGGGAAACGTTCATTGAGTTATTTTGTGCATTTTCCTTACTCTCGTTCGAGACACATCCTAGTTTGTGTCAATCTGTACAATAAGCATTGAAGGAATTTTATGTGGAGCTGAGGAAATGGCGCAATACCGTCTCCACTGCAGTAGATGGCATTGGCTTCCTTCGCTAACAGTATGCAGTGACTTAGAATCAAGATTTATTTCATATTAAAGGAAACCTGTAGCATTTTTTGGCGCTGCCTTTTCATAATTAACTTAATTTTTCTTTACTAGCTCTTGTATCCTGTTACAGCATTTTGTTCCAAATATATTAACCATTTTAACAAATTTTAAAAACACAATAAGAGTGTCTTAAAGGCTAAAGTAGTGTCTGATCAGATTTCCTTTATTTTACAAGGCCCCATATGGTGCATGTATCTCCTAATTCTGAAGGTAACAGCTATGGAACCCTGTGTAACGAGGCACTACAGTTTGCCTTTCCCTTTATGGAACATACATAAAACCCCTAAACTGTTAGCATTGCCCCTGAGCCAGTTCTCCCAACTGGACTCATCCACTTCAGCCCGGACTGGGCTAGGCGAGCTGGGTAGCACTTCCAGAGACCACCTTCTGCACAGGAACAGGTCAAAGTGCTGTGGACTCACAGCTTAGAGTTGTGAGCACCGGATTCACTTCCACAAGAAGACAGTCGTCGCACAGCAGAGTATAGCAGAGTATAAACGACTCGGAGAGCAGCTCTATAGAATATCTTCTTTATTCTATCTACAACTATTATACAACTATATACAGAGCTAAATGAGGTCTAAGCATAAATGAATGCTGAATCGCACTGAGTGCCTGCAGCTGCTCTTAGCAGCAACCTTATCTATACACACGATCTCTAACACTCAGTCTCTCTCTCTCCGACACACTGACTTACTGACTGACTGACTGACTCTTTGATGTGGTGCTGGAGCAGAATAAGTAGAGAGCAGAACACCGCCCCTCCTCTCTGGAAAATCACCAGACTCATCAGGAGATTCTTGGATATGGGAGGGGTGAAATCTCCTCATAAACTAGTTTTCAAGATATGAGGCAAACTTCAACAAAGTTTCCTGCTTCACCTTTTCCTAGAATTAGATGTAAACTTCTTTATTTTTATTTAAGGTTTTACATTACTAGTTCACGAAAGACTGAGTGAACTAGTAAATAGGTGCCTTCCCAAAATTCACCCCTACTATGAAGCCTTTGGTTTACTCCTCATCTCCTGCAGTAATTTAGGATGTATAATAGCATTTGTTCACATCCATCCTTTGCTGTCTTTACCTGCCCCATGTACCTTCCCCACTGTTAAAATTTAGATTCATTCTTTCTTTCTTTCCTTCCTTCCTTCCTTCCTTCCTTCCTTCCTTCCTCCCTTCCTTCCTTCTCTCTCTCTCTCTCTTTCTCTCTCTCTCTCTCTCTCTCTCTGTGTGTTAAAGTGCCATGTATGCTGAAGATAAGCAATCATAAAGGGAATTACTGTCACCCTAATTTTCTTTTCCCCTTCTTCCAGTATCTCCGTACTTGAAGTCTCTTTCCATGGTAGCTGCTAACAAACTGCTGCACTTGTTGGAAGCTTTTCAACCACCTGGTTCCTCTTCTCCTCAGTCCAGAACCACCACCTTGTCTTCTTTTTGCTGGAAGTTTTCAATAATATCATTCAATATCAGTTTGATGGTGAGTAGCTGCTAAAAAATAAGCCGGCCCAATACCCCTTTCGTATGACATTCTAATAATGAATATATTGTATTACTATATTTTTAGTGATAATAAAAATTGTTGGGGCTCCCCCCCCCCCCCCCCATGGCAACTAGTCATTCTGTTTTGGCACCCACAACCCAGGTCCCAGAAGTCATTTGGCTTCCATCTTTTCTATCCCAGTTTCTAACACTGCTTTTGATCCATGTCACTATAGCTTCCATTTTATGCACTGGTCACTAAGGCTATGAGCAGTGACTAGGCCAAAGTCTCAGTAAGTTGGTAGCCAAGCAAGAAAGCAAATTCAAGTCCAGATCCTGCCTTCTGCTCACTAGGCTCCCGCTTCCTTCTGCTCTGTTATTGATCTTAAGTAATTTCTTAGCATTGCCAATTGGGTACTCTGTAAACAACTCAAGAACTGTGCTTTTGCTTTGTTGACTAATTTCCCCCCCTAGCGGTAAGGTAGGAGAAGGTAAGGAAAGGTTTTCTTGATACAGGACTGTAAGTAGCGTACAGCCTCCCAGGCTTATTTGTAGGTCTTTTTCACTCCTCACTCCCTGCATGATTAAAATTACTTAATCATGTTTTTTCTCCCTTCTGCTGCTGTGATTTCCTAGGCAATTCCAACTTGGTCTATGCCATCATCCGCAAGCGAAATGTGTTCCATCAGCTGGCCAATCTGCCTACTGACTTGCAGTCCATCCAGAGAGCTTTGCAGCGCAAAAAGAAAGCTCCCGAACCTATATCTCGCACCAACTCTCAGGATGGAATGTCCATGGAAGGATCTCGACCGGCTGCACCTGCTGAGCCCGGGACGCTAAAGGCCAGCTTGGTAGCAACTCCAGGTCAGTCTAACCTTTATTGCTGTATAGTTGCTTAAATAAAGTGCAAGTTCAATTCAAGATGATGAATTGGATCAATCTTTGATATCTTTCGGACTATATGGAATTGGCAGAAATGACTGGCAGAATCCGAGACCAGGGAGAAGAGTCGGTGGAAGAAGATTGGAAGAAATTTAAAGACTATTTACAGAAATATTGTAAAATTAATGAATGATAGAATGATGTTGGATAGTAATTAAGCGGTTTCCAGCTGTAATGTTTTAAGAGAATATGAAAAAAGGGTTATAAATGGGTTAAAATCTAATGGTAAGGATTTGCTGAACCAATAAATTGAAGTGCAATACAAAACGGGAGGTACGAGGAGGTTCGGGAAACAAGCTAAAGGAAAATAAGTAATAGAAAATATGTGTGTTTTTAACTGTTTTTATTTTGTATTTTTCTTTTTTCTTTTTCATTTTCACTGTAATACTTCAAAAAACTTTAATGAATATCTTACA